TGAGTTAAGCTGAAAGAAAAAAGAGAATTCCCCATATTGCACAAAATATTGAGATACACTACAATCTGTTCAAGATTTATATATATTGCACAATCATTTATATGTATATTTACATATGATCTATATGATCCTGTAAATATACAGCAGATCAAAACAAGAGTAATCCACAAATGTAGTATAACAAAACGAATTCCCATCTCACACCCTCATCTTAATAATTTATATGTTATATATATATATATATATGATATTATGATCCTGCAGATATACAACAGACCAAAACAAGAAAAAGGAGAATTCAGTTTATGATTCATATTTGCAATAATCTAACTGTAGTTCAGTTTATGATTCTGCTCATGTGAGTTAAGCTGAAAGAAAAAGGAGAATTCCCCATATTGCACAAAATATTGAGATACATTACAATCTGTTCAAGATTTATATATACTGCACAATCATTTATATGTATATTTACATATGATCTATATGATCCTGTAAATATACAGCAGATCAAAACAAGAGTAATCCACAAATGTAGTATAACAAAACGAATTCTCATCTCACACTCTCATCTTAATAATTTATATGTTATATATATATATGATATTATGATCCTGCAGATATACAACAGATCAAAACAAGAGTAGTGCACAAATGTAGTAGTATCAATAAATTGAATTCCCTTCTCTCACCCTCAAACTTAATTATCTGTACGACGAGAGTCTAGACCCCTATCCTTCCTTGTTCTTGCTACAAACAAGTCTCTAGATTTGATCAGGCCAGGAATGCACCCAATCATAGTTGTGAAGGGGAATTGTGCAACTGCTTCTTTCCTTCCAAGCGAAACAATTGCAAGCACGGAACCAGAACTAGGCTTGTATGTCGCCATCTTGCTTTCTTTTCCACCGCCCATCAATAACTTCAAGTTCTTCGCAACCACTAAAGCGTGCTTTTGTGCTATATACCCTTGTTTGATTTCCTGGCGTATTCCATATACAATTTATCAATGCTTGATGGCATTTACATGAGAAATATTAATATCAACATCATAAACCAAAGACAAAGATCTTGTTCGTCTTAAGTCAGAATGCAGAATTAACAATTTTGTTAGATGACTTCTAAAGTAACTTATGTAACTTGATCCTTTAACATTTGGATCTAAAGGATTTTGAGTTAGTAAATTTGCCAAGTTATACAGTTCATAGCTTAAAGAGCTCTTCTATTTCAAGTTAAACCAACACGGAGTTTGAAGGAACTGATGGGACAGAAATTACCTGAATATTAGTAATATCGCCTATTGCAAATATGTTTCCACGACCCTTTACTCTCAAGTGCTCATCGACCATCACCCTTCCATGACTATCCAAGCTATCCTTCAATATGCTATCATTAAGCCATGATGAACTCAGAGGTTTTGCTGTGCATAGAAAATGGCAGTCTGCTTCAATTGTTTCTCCTTCAGACGTTTTATACACTTTGCCTCCATCAGAAACAGAATTTAAATCGACGGATTGCCCCAATATTACTTCAACTCTCTTTGAAGTTAACCAATCTAGACTTTTATCAGCAGCTTTTGGCCCAATAAATTCCAATAACCTGGCTCCTTTATGCACCAGAGTAACCTTCTTATCTGGGAAATCAACAGCAATTTCTCCAGCTAGTTCAACACCAGTAGGACCTCCTCCAACAATCAAAACAGAACCAGAGGAACTGATCTTTTCATATTCTGCAAGTAAAAAGATTGCAAAATAACTTGAGTAGGTAGATAATAATATCCGTACTGTCATGCACTTTAAGAACAATTAGTCATACAAATTTTTATGTTCATTTCCATATTGCTAGTACCAGAAAATGTTACCTGCTTCATGGGTCATTATGTTATGCAGTATATGTTGTCATAATAAGTTTAAGTGATTGGTTATTTTGAAAATGCTGTGCATGGTAACCATTATTGGAGTGTTTGTATGTTAAGTATCTATGTGTATATGCACAAATATATGTCAAGATTGTACCTAACCTGCCATAAGCTATACTGCACAAAAGCAGGGAGTAGAAAAAAAGAAGAATAAAGCAAAAAGAAAGGTGAAAAGAATAAGGCATTGCTTGAGCAATATGTTATGTTACCTGCTTGGTATTGATTAATTCTCTCCCTCTTAGTTACAGGAACGGGATCCTTATGGCCGGTAGCAATAACAAGATAATCATAAGCAACCAGGCGGCCTACTGAAGTCAATACTTCAGTTTCAGAGATATTGATTGCATTAGCTGTAATAATTTGGCCGTTTGTAAGGTAATCCTTATGGTTGATAACTGATCTCTCTGCAAATGATGGTTCCACCATTGACCTCAATTTTGCCCATGTGATCTCAAAATACTCCTTCCTGTTTTCAGTTGATTTTTTCACTCAGCACAAAGATAATAACGCTATAATGAAGAGAATTCTACATGTACATACGTTTTGGCTTTATATGTGTGTGTATATATATATATATGTTAGGACTCTGCTTCCTATCAAAAGCTATCCTATTTATCTCATTCTATATAACTCAGGAATTTAACAAGCTATAATATATATATATATATATATATGTTAGGACTCTGCTTCCTATCAAAAGCTATCCTATTTATCTCATTCTATATAACTCAGGAATTTAACAAGCTATAATATATATATATATATATATATGTTAGGACTCTGCTTCCTATCAAAAGCTATCCTATTTATCTCATTCCATATAACCCAGGAATTTAACAAGCTATAATCCTTCTTGCGTCTCTCTGGTAGAAGTCATTGAATCCTTGGTTACAAAAATGCAGCACATATATATAGATGTCTGTGGATGTTTTGCGTGTGTACGTATATATTGAAGTAAATACACATTTAGTTAACTCCATTAACACTGAATTTCTCTATCAAATTTTACAGTTGATGTTAGGTCAAACCCTCAAATAAAGGAACCCAAAAATTTAAAGACGAACAGAAAAAATTTCAGATATTGAGGACCAAAAGACTTTTAAGCTCTCACATCTCAATTCATTAACAAGCATTCCAGATAAGAAACAAAAGAAGTCAATAGAATTTCTTACGGATCAATGAGGGTGACACTAGCGACGAACTGTAGAGATTTCGCGATGAGAGAGCCAGCAATACCGCCTCCTACCACCACCACTCGCTTTGTGGATCCTCCAAAATCGGGTTGGCTGTCCATGATTCTGATTAAAATGAATAAAACCCAGAAAAGATTTAACGTCTAACAAATGGCGGTGTGGTGGAGCTGGGGATTTATAGGTAGAATAACGCGTTGAAGGGTTCTTAAAGAAGAAGAAGAAGAAGAAGGAAGGATTCAAAGGACAAGAAGGCACTCTGCTATAATTGGATGGAAAGCTCTAATTACCCGAGCCAACAACTGATTGGTCATTTTACATTTACCCAAAGCAAAACAAGTCTGATAGTCAACGCCATTATCCTTTTTCTTTTCTCGGTGAGGAGTGTAAAAATGGTATTTGAATGTTTATTAATGCCGACCAGATCATCTTTTCGTGTAATGGGCTGGTTGATTCTCTTTGAATACTTCATCAGGGATTCAAACTTTTCTAAAAGTAATATTTTGACAATCATTTTGCACAATATAACAACTATTATTTTTGCCTTGTAGCAACAAGAAAACGAATTTCTTGTCCGCGAAGGTACATTTGGCAGGCTCATGGACATACTTCTTTCTTTGAATTAAAAAAAAAAAAAAAAAGGGCTTCTAGAAATACTTGGTGTGTAATTATACATGGGTTAAGAAAAAAAAAAAAGCAAAGTATGAATTTTTTGGATTTAGGGTTTCAAAGGGTGCTTAGAAGTTTCCTTTTCAAAATTTAAGTAGAATTAAAAATAAGATTAAAATTTTACAAATCATACATTATAAAATAAAACGAGACGAGATATACCCGTCTCGTATTCTATTAACTTCGAATTATTACTCGTTCCATTCGAAACGAATTAAGACGAAGTAATAGATAACTCGTTTATGCACCAACTCCTTCATAGTTAATTCTTGCTTTCCACACGAAACTCATTCTCTGTGACTTTCTCATTATCCCTCAACCAAGCAATGACATCACTTGACGTCGTTGTTCTTCTCTAAATCAATGTTATGATTTCAACAATTAATTCTGGAACCTTAAAAACACCCAACACCCATGCATTCCAACTCTCCTTCCAACCAAATTTGACAATCAATTCTCCACCGACCACAAATTTTTTGCATTCATTCTAGAGAAGGTTCCAACCATCTTCCTACTCCAATTTTGCTTTTTGGACGAAAATCGTCTCAAGAACATCTTTCATCCAACCACACGTTTTATCGTACTTGTATAATCTAACATGATTAAATGAAACTGAAAGAAAATTACTGCAGTGAAGCATAACTCTTCACTGTCTTTCCCTCCATTGTTTCAGAAAATTACCCTTTCTCTGTCCTCACATCTGTAGATTTACACAAAAAAAGATGTTCTATTTGCTCCTGGTGACAGAAAACCCTGGAAGAATATTTCTTTTCCATAAAAAAAAAAAATGGCACGAAGGTTTTGCAGCATACAACTCTAATCAAATCCTGGAGCTCAAGGGCAATCCAGATAAATCCAAAATCTAATACCATCTTAAAACCAATGCCATCTTATCTGCTTTATCTTGCATTACGACAGCACGTACATAAAAGCTTTAACCGAGATTGTGAGAGAGAACTCGGAGAAGCTATAGAATGATACAAACGAAGTTCAATCGATTAAAGTGAAGGGTTACGATTATAAGCTTTCCCTACATTATGATCGATCTCTATATGCAATCAATTCTTACTCATTTTGATATAAAATATAATATTAAGATTCTGTTTAAGAGAAAAGAAAAAGCAATAAGAATATTTAGCCATGGGCCTTCTACTATCACTGATTCTCATTCAAGATTTCATTTTCAGAAGACTCCCATTGTCTCAATAGTGTCTTTCTTGTTTTCCTCTTTACCAGTCAAGTACAAATATATATATGTGTGTGTGTGTGTGTGTGTGTGTGTGTGTGTGTGTAGAAGCTTTACCCTTTAATGATGGAAGCAAATGACCGAATTAGTCTCAAAAAAATCCACGGCAATTATACATTAACAGGCACCTGCAGGATGATACACCGAATAAGAAACGAAACTTCATATCTGCATGAACTCTTTACTCAAAAACTCCCTACGATTTCCAAGTATATTTTTGAACATATTTCAAGATTTATTGAAAATGGATGCCAATGTCTATAGGCCTAAGTATACCCCTAACGGCAGACAGAACAAAGAACCTAGCAGGTCCAGCCAAATTAAAGATTAACAAATGTAAGTAATGATGATGATAAAAACAAAGATTCTGATGATCGTATGCAGATTTTTGCAAAATTGGACAAGACAATGCCCACCCATCCTTTGCAGAGATTTTCTTTTATAACCATCTCTTGTAGTTAAAAGCAATTGCAGAATAAAAGATCCACATTCTTAGGTCTGTTAGTCTCCAACAAACTGCATCAAAATTCACCACAAAATATGTGTTCGAGCATATATTTCCACTATGCTCATTGTAACACGAGTGAATTCTAAATTTACAAGAAGAACGTCTTTCCTTACAGAGTAAGACCTTATGAATCAATATCTTAACATTATCCGACGATGGTTACAAGTACATGTTCTTAGTAGTTGGATAACCACTTGCACTTACCACACTGCAACATATCCATAATTTAGCTGGACATAAAATTATTCGTATGGTCGCTATGTACAGAAATGAAACTCGTTGAAAGAATTAAGAATGAGGCAAAAAGATGATGCCTAATCATTCTGTTGAAAAATTTAAATTGAAATTGGGCATGCAGAAAGCATGAAAAAAAATATCTAATCACCAGAGAGATGTCAATAAACCTGAAACCAGAGCAAGCTTACCACAAATGCAATACCTCAGCAACTCCGTCCACTGTCCTCGCTCATCATTCCCTTCAGACTCTTCGCTAACCAGATAGCTGTCTCCCTTGGGGAGACCTTATCCTTTCCAAAAGGTTTCAAAACAACTGCAAGCTCTTCTAGCCTATTTTGCTCAAGTAACTCTGCAGAGAGCTCTAAGAGACCCTCAAGTGCCTCAGCCCTCTGCCTGAAAGATTTGATGTCTAAAGTTTCCTTAGCTGGTGCTTCCACCTCCATCACAGTTGAATTAGGTTTTACTACCTCAGTAGGTTCAGATTTTGGAACTGAAGTGGGGTTTCCCAAAGAAGGGTTTCTGATATCCATCTCCTTAACATTAGGATAATCAGAAATATTTGATTTCAAACTAACAGCATCAGAGCAACTTGGTGATTTAAGGGTCACCGGGAGCTGTTGTGCTTCTCACATCCAACTCATCCCTCACTACATTGATAAGCCTTTCCAACATCCACATTTTGAACCCCCATCTCTACTGTTTCCATAACTGGCTGGTCACTCCCAACACGGAAACTACTATGCCGAATAACATGTATGACATCATCAAATGCTGGAGGAAGATGGGAAGAAGTTGGCTTTTCAACTATTTGGGTTTGCAAAATGCTTCCTTTATCTTGCTGCAAGGACTTTTGGCAAGCAGAAAAAGGCGAAGCAATAGTCGTATTGTCTGCAACTGATGACAGAAGTTCCTTAACAGTGAATTTATCATCACCACTAGGTGGGGATTGCAGATTTGATTGCAAAGAGTCACTGGGCTTACTACTAGGTCTGATAAAAGAGGAAAGAAGATTTGATTGCAAAGAGTCATCAGGGCTACTGCTATGTCTGCTTAAAGAAGAATCATCCCTGCTACTTGACCTGCTAATGAGGGTATTATCTTTACAAACAAAAATTTCTTCCAAAGTTGGAACTAGAAGATCCTGGGTTGAACTTGAGCTCATTCTGCCATCAAGAGAAGTTATATTCTGAACATCTAAGGTAACCTTGGAGGGTTCAGTCGAAAATGTAACAGACTTGGAATCATGTAGAAGGTTCCCTGTAGAAAGATTATCGGGCATCTTGAAACAAGTAACAGAAGTTAAATTCTGAACATCTAAGGTAGCCTTGGAGGTTTCAACCAAACATGCAACATACTCAGGATCATGTGGAAGGTTTCCTGTAGAAAGATTATCGGGCATCTTGGAATACATAACAGAAGTTATATCCTGAACATCTAAGTTAGCCTTGCTGGTTTCAATCAAACATGCGACAGACTTGGGATCATGTGGAAGGTTCCCTGTAGACAGATTTTCATGCATCTCAGAACATATATTTGATGAACGTAAGTTGGTGGGCTGATGTGATTCTAAACATTCAGTACGGGTGACTATCTCATGATCTGGGAGTGTCTCTTCTGTCACATCAATAAAAGGAGTTGTTGCATCATCACACAGCTCAAGAGCCAGCACTGACATTGAAGAAGATACAGAGTTGCTGCTATCTGTTTGCATTACTTTGGAGGACGCAATGGGAGTTCGACAAGGCTCCTGAATGATCTCTCCAGAAACTCGTCCAAGGTGACCATTGGACACTTGACGAGAAACAGTTTCTGGTGCCTGAATTACCTCAGAAGGATCTAACTTTGTGCCATTGCCTACAGCATTGGGATGATCAGTCCCCACTTGTCTCATACGAACAGGGAAGGAAGGCCGTTTAATCAAATTAGGCGGGGTTGTTTGCCTTGGCTTACCAGGACTTGCATCCTCCAAGGCACGCTTTACAGGACCAGAAGGTGGAATTCCATCATACCTCGGTTTTGTCTTTGGAAAGGAGTCAATTGCAGGTAACTGCAGAGCAAGTTTAGGTACACAAATAATCAGCTTATTTAACTGAGGTTAAAAAAAAAAAACCGAGGTCATGACCATACCTGATGCTTCAAAGAATGTGATCCTTGAATCTGTTTTACTGGATCAGAGGCTAACTTTGCTGGTGTAGTGGGTGCATCTGTATTGGACTTCAATCCTGGAGCAGTTGCGCTGCCTTTCAAAACTTTGGATGATGGTTCTGTGTGAGTTCTGTGTATCGATACAGCCCCATTCTTTACTCGATTCCCTCTCATTGGAGAACCATTTTCTCTAGCTTTCCCCTCTTTTAGAGCCATCATAATATTTCTAATTGTTTTTGGTTGCTTTGGTTGAACATTTGGTAGGAGTTCATTAGAGGGTCTTATAACCCCATGCTCAACCATTTTTACACCACAATTGTTGGGGCCATTTTCATCTTCACACGGCAGAGGCTGCCTACAGCTATCTTCATCGTCAATAGAAACTGAATCAGTATCAGTTGCTTTGTTATCGCTACTTGGAACAGCAGCAGTTCTATCACTTGAAAGCAAAACTGTCCTTATCACTACTTGAACTATTACTGTTCTGGCTTTCAGCCATATGCTTGCTAGCATCACGACCAGATGAAATAGGCTTCTCTGGCGAGCATGTTGTTGGAGAACTAAACAAGGGACGGTACTGATCAATGTAAGGCTGCAAATAGGGATGCTTCAAAATCTCCGATGCCTGAACAAGGAAAAAGCCAAGTTGTAGATGAAATCTAAGATGGAAAAAACTTTAATATATTAAGACTCGGAGAGATTGCATACACTTGGTCGATGCTCAGGATTCTTTCTTAGCATGCCCTTGATAAGTGTTTTCCTGTGCCAGTAATTGTAACAGTTAAATACCTGGCTAAGAAGCATTTGATTTAATGTCTTCTAAACAAATAAAATATAGACAATGATTAGGTTAAACCAAAATGCTTATGTGTCTCCACTCTAATGTAACCATAGCAACAACTTGACCCCGATCATCGGGACTCCCTCCCTCTCTCTTTCTTTATATTCTCTCTAATCTGATGCTAAAGGGACCTTTGCAACAACTTGGCCCCTACCCATGGAAGTGTTTTCAGAATCTAATTGAACTATCATAATTATAGTTCCGGAACAGTCCCAATTGAAAATTTCCTATACCCTTGGATCTGTTTTGTGGCTTCATAAACCACGTACTTTGTTGATGAAGTTAAAGAACAAGGGTATTACAGCTTTGGATAGTGAAGCCATAAGTGTACACCATTAACCCAGTATAAGAAACAGATACTTCCCTAGACCAAAGCAAAAGGAACAACTGAACAGGTAGGGATCCTGCCCATCCATAGAATAACTCGTAAAAAAGGTGAACCACAAATCTGAACTGCCTACCATAGTTATGATGAATGCCAGGATAAAGCCATAAACAAAGAGAAACATAAATTTTTTTTTCTCTCCTTACTATACTTTTTACTTTGCTAATTAGTGAATCAAATCCCTTGTTGGTCTTCTATCCTATTTTCCCTGAAGGAAGTATTAGAATCTTCATGCTCAAAGTAGATCAATCATGTTACATCAAATAACTTGACATCACTATGATATTTGTATCCAAGACTGCCTCCCTTCTCGCTTTCTAATCCTCTTTTATAATGCATTGGTTGACAATATGAAATTGACTTCAAATATATAGTCATAGCAAGACATCCCTACACTTGCCAAATGCAACATGTAATGAATGTCTTCTTTTTGTTTCTAAAGGAAATATGTAATAATATTAATATATATCAAAATGCAGATTCAGCAGTATTATAAATATACAAGTATGCCTACTGAGGTTTTCATAACTACAGGAACATTTCGGAATGTGCAACTCTTTTTAATGAATGTGTAAGTAGGACTAGTTTTATGAAGCTGAATACATTTAAAAGAAAAAAGCTTAGCTCTTTCTTATCTTCAGAGGGCATAATAACAGCTCTTGCCTTTTTGTTGAAATTTTTTAGAGTATGCAAAGAGGCTTTTGGTAAGTTACATATCCTGCTTCACAGGGATCAAAGCACAAGGGGGAAATATATGCCCAGGGGTCCAATCAATCATTACAAAAAGACACATTTAAAGAACAAAGAATGGCCAGTATATAAGCCATCTAAGGAGATATGCTTACCAAAGAGAATGGGATTATATCCAGAAAATCAGATAATCAGATGACAGAACCATGTTAAGTAGTCTGACCTAGCCTCAAATACACATCTTGGTCAGACAATGGCCAAGCAACCACAAGATAAAGATTTGAGAACACAAATGACATGCACCATCAACTACAATGTGGCACCAATACAACTATTCAAATGTGTCTACAAATCAACATCATCAATTTTATACAGATTTTCCATCACTTTTGATTCTTGGTTGTCATAACCTTACTAATATGATGTACTTCAGGAGAAAGCAAATTTCAAAATAACTTCGATCACTAAACAAAAAACAAGAATAAGCTTAGATGTGATGGAAACTCACAGTGATGGAGAATAGCAAGAAGGCAAAGGGCCAATAGACGAACGATTTATCTTGCTTATTAACCCAGCCATATCCTGAAGAAGAAAAGAAATGGACGGGAAGTAAGTCAGGTAGTGGTGGCTATCACGAGGGATATAATGATCATCATGCAAAGTATGCACTCAGTCGAAAACTCCCCAATGCTATTGGTGGGTCAGATGGCTTTGCAAATTATTTAATGATATTGTCCCAAAATATAAGACAACTACATCAATAAGAAAGTGCTCTTGAAAACATCCAGAATATACCATTACACCAAAATAAAGAAAGACGAGAAGTCTTACAAAAGCTTTAAAAGCTGGACGATGAGCAGCCATCTCATACATGCAGCATCCTGGCCAGCAAATGAAACCCTTAGCCTTGGGCATAATAAGATGATACACACTTAAAAACTGTGAAAGTAGCAGTTACCCAGGGACCAAATATCAGATTTGAAGCCATAAGGAATATCTGCAAGCAGTTCAGGGCACATATAGTTTGGAGTTCCAACCACCTGTAAATAATATGAACGACTAAATTCTTTTTCTTTTATTAGAATCTAGAGTTGACTTAAATTCTTTTAGAAATATATTTTTTTTAATAAACAAAGATTGAAGAAAATGAAGAGAAAACTGAAGCAAATTCAGTAATCTGTTATGAGAACTAACAGAGATGAGGCATGTTTTATTTCCAGCTCAATTATTCTTGCAGCCAATCGTTTAAGCGTTGTACCCAAATTTTTTTGCCTTAAAATATGTGATGCCTATCAGACAACACATGAATACATAAAGATTGAACTTCTAGCATCTTAAAGGTAGCTGAAGTCTTTGGCCTTTCTTTCTTTTTCAGAGATGTCCTCAGCCATTTTTTTTTTAAAGTTGATTTGCAAACCTAAATAAAATCAGAATGGCCAGTTCATAACTTCTATGAATCTTTAGTCATGGGAAATAATATATTTTTTCA